ACTTAACAGTCAAGCTGCTTGTATGTTGAAAGGTATTTTCAACCAATCAAATTATGCCTTGCATAAATGCTATGATTAAACTGTCTCCATGTTTCATGTCGATACTGATCTTTCAAGTTGTCATTCAAGTGCTGTGAAAATCAGGGTTTGTTTACGAGTTGACTTTTTGAGCTCACAAAAAGGTGGGCTGGAGGATTTGCGCTTGCGCTTGCAAGCTGGGCACAAGAGAAAAACAAATGCATGCAAAGCATCAAACTTGTATCAATAGACGAGAGTTCATCTACTGGTACCTTGGGTTGAACACTAAACAGGAGTCGACCTGAGCCCTGTATTCATGATGTTGTCAGAGTGAACTATATTTACATTCGTTCAACACTATGGATATAAAACAATAAGCAAGAGAAATACCTTGAATGCATATGTGTACACCATCAATGAACAAACTTTGATTCCCTGTAAATTACAATTCAAGCAAATTACATGAAATTCATTTAATTTAGGGTTTTACAGATTTTACAACTGTTACTTATACTTAGTTTGGTTCATCTGATTTATTCAAAACAGTGCACATCAATTTGCTGCGCATCCACCTTATTTTGTTTGATTGGGCAGCCAATCACCAAAGTCAGAATATCGCCCACTCTGACAACACTATGGATCCAGGGCCTTAAACCTTGACAAATTACCACAGACTCAAAGAAAACAACAAAGATATTCATTTTCGGATGGGACTTTAGAGAATATGGAGTCATCAAAAAACTTTTAAATAGGTGGTTTTCCGTTCAACTGCGAGATCTCGCGAGTTGCGTGATAGATGCGCACCGAATGTCTGCCACAAAAATCAAACTATTTGATTTTGAATTAGAATTTCTTTATTTTGTAGCTCCCACTGAAAGGTCGATCTTTGACAGAGGAATATTGCGTTTGAATACCCTTACTTAATCGAAATTGACTATCATCAAATGTGTACAGCACATTATTGAGCTTAGAAATATCCTCTAAAATACTTTCGAGTTTGTTTAATCCCACCTGATGTATGTTGCCAATACGACGCTATGACTTTTGTTTGTCCTGTTTTTAAGTTCGATTTCACGCATAACGCGGGATCTTGCAGTGAACGGGAAATGGTTTATTATGTGATCATGTTCCTTGTACTCAAAAAATTCACAGAAACTTTCTTTTTGCAGAAATAATGCATTCATAATAACTACACACAGATTGCACACAGTGCTTAAACCTTCTTTTCTAAAGACTAGGACAGATGTTACAAAACAACACAGCACATTTGTTTCTTTCTTTATTGTATATATACATCTTGATACACAGTGTTGTAAATGCGATCATTTCCCGACAATTTATAATTCACTACTTAAATGTCAATTGACCTTTTCATAAAATCTTACCACCAGACTTTCCCGCCCATTTTTTCTGCACTTTTTTCTAATATTCGTCAATATTTCTGGAAATGAACCATAATATTGTACCAACAAACAAATTAGTAAATTAGTAAATTTTCAGTTTTTACTTAAAAAATTTTGCTATTTTTGTCCCAAAAGAATGTGTAAACTATTTCATGAATTTGTAATGAAAAGAGAGAACTGTTGGTGAAAGTTTAATTAAACAGCATTCTGACTAATAGCATAGTAGTGGCTAATGTTCAAAAAAAAGCGCATTATATTAGGTAAATTATACTGCAAGAAAAGGTCATCTTGTATCATTTGGCAAATCAAATACACTGTGTGAAACATATTTACAACAGAAAACACCGTGGAAACCAGTACACATTGTCGGACTAGCAAGGGTATATACCAGAATATATGTGAAAATTATCAATTGTGGAAAGATCAGTCGAACAGTTCTAAATTTTACTGCAAATATCCAGTAACTAACATTAAAAACACATTTTCAATAAGTTGCTTTCTCTGGCGATGAAACCTTACAAGATAACAAGACCAGTTTTTACTGCAAATGTCCTTGTTTTTATTTACGTCACAAAAGAGTTTCAGAGCTACAGGCACAACTTACAGGAAACATGTATCCAATACTCATTTTAGAGAAGAAGAAAAAAACAGGTTTTGAACAAAAAATTCTGATTTATAATCAACAACATTTATGAAAAGTAGTAAATTTTGAACGGGAATATTTTGTGAAAAGAGACAAAAGATGGAAATGGCAGTGAAAGGGTTTATTTAGATGATGTTCGATAATAATAAATGACTGAATTTTGAAAAAAGAGAATCATTAGAGATTAACCAATGAAATTACTTGATATAATGCTCCTACTGACAACCCAACCCCACCTCCCAGAAAATAGAATTGCTCATTAATATTTGCATATCAAGTTTAATCAATTATTTCATATAAATAAGTATCAACCAATGCATTCACAGAAGATCTGTGAGAAGCATTGTTTGTTGAAACTGAATCACAAGGATGATAAGATAAGAGCTGTATAATGATTGGTTTATATCCTAGAACATTGATAGTAGAAGACCTGTGAATGGTTGATCAGATGAGGTCAGAGTAGTAGCTGTATTCTCATTGGTCAATACCATAGATAAAGTACTGGAAGTATGAGCATTTTCCTTGATAGCAAGTTTAAATGCAAATTGCATAAGAATGGAAGCCCTTTGTTGATTGGCTGAAATCCTTTTCCATGAGTATTTCAACCAATAAAAACCATTGTTTTAATGTTTCTAGACACTCATCAGGAATTGATCCTCAGATCGCTTGGTTTCCTGAAACAGAAAATTTGTCAACATTTTAGAAATGATATGATGTAAAAACATTTATTGAATATCACTATTTTGATATTTGATCATATTCACTGGATATAAAATTTTGAATGATAATTTTGATGATTTGAAAATCAACTGTACATGTATTTAAAATAATTTCCATAGTGATTGTATAATACTGTAAATCACTTGGAATTCATTTTTGCTACTTTTTTACTGAAAGAATGAAGCAGTGGAAATGAATCCTATATATTACATTCAACTCATCAACAATCAGTGAAATTAAACTTTACACAAAAAAGCAAAAATGTCTTTTCAGCAAAAATTAATTCCAGCTAGAATTTTACAGCATCTGATACCACAACAGCTCCCTCTAGTGGTGTAAGATGTTTACATGGGGAGTTCAAATAAAACAGCCGACAGTTAAAGTGCTAGAGTCGTCGCTCCGCCTCGTCGTGTTCGATATGGGACCCATATCAACGTATAAAACGTGTGTAAAACACATTATTTATTTACAAGAAATTCGAAAATGTGCTGTGTGACAATTTTAGCGCTTCAAGTTAGTTTGATGCTATTTTGTATCAAGGGTATACAAAGAAACAATTTCATGTGCCAATCACAAGCTGCCTTATTTGGGCATGTTTTTTTGTTTGTTTTCAATCACTTACTTCTGACAGTAATTGTCTCTTGATGTATGTCTCCTCTTCCTCTGCTAATAACTTTTCTTCTAATTTTTTTTTGTAACTACAAAAATTGAATAAATACACAATACTTGTTCCCCAATTACTGTCATCCATTATGGATCAACTCCATAACAACTGGTACTCAAAATAAGCCCCCAAAAAATAAGTTTTGCTCTTGTCAACGTGCTGTGATTTCTAAATAGCTTTAAGACTTACTCAGGACTTACTTTTTAATCTAAAATTGGTCAAAAAATGTGCCCTTACAATTTCGATTCATAAACTAAAAAATTTAAATTGGTCAAAATACATACCATTACGACTCATAAATAAAAAATTTGTAATTTGTCGAAATAAATACCATTACTAAAAGTTCAGTTAAAGTGCAGGGATCATTAGGTAAATTGAGTTCTAAGCAAAGATTAACAATGCACGCTAAAACACTATGGCCGTCTGTGGCATCCACAGATAACTTCCTTCGCTTTAACAAAATATTCTATTTTTCTACACAAAAAAACAATAAATAAATCGTAAATGATCATTATTAAAAAAATAAATGTGAAAAAGTTTCTAGTTTTTTTACGAGACTCAAAGATTCTCCCTGAACCCTATATATGCATCTAAAAATGGAAGAGGGGAATGACTTACATTTGACTTTCTGGGTCTAACTCTTGATTTCGACATTTCTGTAATTTCTCTTCAAGTTCCTGTATTTTTGTAGGATTGAGTGGCTCAATGTGTTTAACCATGAAACGAACCTCTGTACAAATAAGAACAAAATAGATTTATTGCAACCGTAAATAAAATAATAATATAAATGTAATAATATAAAATAAGAAAACAAAAACAAAAGGAACACCAAAGACCATCTTGAGTCAGATCTTGAAAAAATAACTTCCCCTTGTAAAATGTCAACAAATGAATGTCAGGTCACATGATCAAGGTTACTAAGTAAATATCATTTACCCATTGACGCTGTAGGTTGGCGTCTTCTACACCGATCTGACGCATATCGTGCAAGGTGTGCCAGGAATTTGTTCGAAACTTCGAATGCTTCGAAGTCAATTGTCACGTATTTTATGGATATATTAAATCGTTTCAGAGACCTGTTAACTAAATAATGATAAATGAAACTTGTAGGAACAAACTGGACTCAAATTGTGCAAATCTGCAATAAGTTTAAGCTGCTAGTGTTTAGTTCGGTAGGAGTTCTGCTCGTGATTTTATCGCGTTCAATGACGTTCTATTTTCAAACTCGTTGAAAACGGAAACTACGCAAGTACTTTCGAACTTCAAACACAAATTGGATTATCGTTATGTGTTAGTTTCTGTTATTTACAAGATTTAATTATTTATGACATTAATATTTAACTCACTAAAAAATATTTCACTAAAATACGTGATTAAAAAGCAACGTAAATTGAAAAAAAAATTATCAAGTTCTGAGTATAAACACTAGTGTAAAGAGGCGGCAGAGCGCTATTTTAGCCAAAATCGGCTAGTAAGGCGTCATATGACACAGGTTTGTGCTGGGACAGTGCTTCCGGTGACGACACAACATCATTTACCAGCATGCATCACTCACAAAGGTCACACATCCTTGTACTTTGCATAATCTATAAAGGTCGCACATCCTGGTACTTTGAATAACCTATGAAGGTCACACATCCTGGTACTTTGCATAACCTATGAAGGTCACACATCCTGGTACTACTGTTGTAGTAGGTCCAAGAAAATGTGACCATCAGGAATTATGCATAGAGCCTATGGATTTTCTAACATGCACCAATTGTCAAAATTTTCAAATTAAATATTCACTTACTTTTTAACTGTTCAACCATCTGCTTTAAGGTGTCAGAATTTCCTTTTCCCACCAAGGAGTCAGTAACATACCTGCACAATGTAAGTTAGAAATCTAAATCTAATCGGTCTGAGCAAGATCAAACCAGTCTGAGCGACATCAAACTAGTCTGAGCAAGATCAAACCAGTGTGAGCAAGATCAAACTAGTCTGAGCAAGATCAAACTAGTCTGAGCAAGATCAAACCAGTTTTAAGCGGAATTAGTAAGAACCAGGTTTCACTCACTTGTCCAGATTGACTCCCTTCTTTGAAGCACTATGTAAAACAGCAGCCAAGGCAATCTGAGAAAACAAAACATCAAAACACAAAACATTGAAAATCTGTGTTTGCTCCTAACCCTTATGAACACCAAATTTTGTCAATTGTTTTTCTCATAATATTCCCCGCTGAATTTTGGTGAAACATTTTACACATTTATAGTTATCCCTGGTAAAGATTTGTTATTTTTGGGGCGAAATATTGAAAAAAATTTAAGCAGGTTTATTTGTGAAAGGTGACCAAATTTGTTTTTAAAGTTGAAAAGGTCAATTGGACTATATAATAACGTTATCATGAGATACCGCAAAGTAAGCACTTGGGCAGTACAGGGTCACATTGACCACTTATACAAATTAGTCAGTACATTAACTGTGTACTGTGTGTACTTTGCGGTATGCTCGCAATAACGTCACGGTATTAACATAAATCACCTGTGATGGAGCGAATAGTAAACATGCGTCAGTAGCCAGTGACCGATATATAAACTCTTCGGCTTTTTTCCTGAGAACTTCAGTGTCGGCAATGTGAAGGACGCGTGTCTGCCAAGAAAACAATATTTAGTTGTTACTTTGAAACTGAAATTAATAAATTACTTTATGGTCAAATTTGTTACATACTGTTAAAGCGGGAGGGTTGTCACCTGCGCATGCGCGGGAATTGAGTCCAAAGCACGATAACACCACATGCTCATGCAAATGCTCATGGTTAGACGCTTGTTTGTAAACAATGACACGCTATAGCCATCTGATGTAAGCGCAGGTGAGGACTCTCTCGCTTTAAGGTTTATTCAGTCTATGCGGGTTTGAACTAAAATGATCTAACCTGATAGCACTGGTTCAAATAGGTTTTAACTGAATTCATTCTGTTTATTCCATGCAATTTAGGTACCTTTATATCAATAAGAAATCCTTCCATTG